CTCTTATCCTCCTCATCTCACTGATCCCTATGTGATGTATGTGTGTGTGTCTACTGTATTAACTCCCCTAGGACTATGTTTTATTACAATAGAATAGAATAGAATAGAGAATCGAAAGAGAGAAAGAGAAAGAGAGAGAAAGGAAAAAGTTCGAACATGAAAAATTTGGAGAAAATTATTTTATTCATATATCACATCGAAACACTGAATTTGCGTTACAATGGACACACTTTCCTATGAGATTTTAAGTTAGTCTCTCTCCTTAGATTTTAATATCTTTCCTCTTCATCTTCATTTTTCATCCATTAACTGTTACGACATTGTATCTATCCATTCATCTTTATGATAAACTCAGTGTCTTGTCCCTTTATCATCGGCACCATATGAATACTGTTTATCCCATTTGGATTATCCCTCCCAACTAAAAGCCCCATAGACACACAAAGTAATTGACTTTTTATTTGATCGATTTTTTTTTCACTTCGACTTAATATTCCCTCTCTCTTTCTCTCTATCTTACCTTTGACCTTCTTAAATTATCTTTTATCATCATCTTTTAGCATCTTCCATCATGAATACCCTTTTTTATCATCTATTATCTCATTTTTGACACTCTCTTTCTTACTCTGTGTGTGTGTGTCGATGGTCAGTGAACGGTGACCCCTTCGAGGTCTCAGACAATGTGACACATAAAAGGTTAACCTCAAGGTGGCCCATCGGTATTTTGTTGCTATTATTATGGCTACTATGGTGTGTCCCTATTGTCAAATGGTCAAACCTATGACCTGAACCTGTGTGTGTCGTATATATTATTATGATTATTTACCTTTGAATACCATATTCCAGTGGTCATCTAAATAGTGGAAAACCAAAAATGGTTTATCTTTTTTTTTCTCATTCGCTTTTGTTACTTGACCAATGTATTAATACCCTTCAAATAGTTATACAAATTTTTAAATGAAACAATTTATATAAATCAACACAATCAACTTTTTTTTCATGTTTACCTTTTCCCGTTTTACTAACTGGTCAGTAAACAATCATTGATGGTCATCGGAATAGCAACTTAGTTGTCACATTGAAAAAAAAATCAAAGTACAATATCGTATTGGCAATAAGTTAACAATACAAACAATCAAAAAGTTGATTTTCTGAAAAACAATCAATCGATATCAACATTTAATTGTGATACTTTTTTCATGTATTCATATTCAATATAAAGCAAATAGTAAACGATAACAAAAAAATAGCATCAATGTAACAATCATTGTAACGTGTATGTAACAATGTTTAGTTGGTTAAAGTTGATTAGCTTCAAGTTGATTAGTTTACTTTCCAGATTAATAGCAGATTAGGTTATAACCTTTGGCCTTGTATCGAGTTTGCAAATATTACCACTGGTGAGTCTTTGTGATTAGGGACACAAATATTGTGTGTGGTGTTGATGGTGACAGAATCAATATCAGATTGATTGTGGTAGAAGGTGAAAGTGATGAGGATGGAGAAAAAATCATCAGGAGGTTCCGGTGGTGAGGAAATAAATGAAGATGAAGATGAAAGAAACCAAAGGTGACCAATAAAAGGGAAGATATTACATGATAAAGAGGGTTGGATATCGAGGGGTGATAGGTAAAAATGAGAGAGAGAGAGAGAGAGAGAGAGAGTCTCGTGTCAAGTTGAGATGTGGGTCAATATATTAAATAAGAATATCAAATAGAAAAGAGAATAGAAAAAAAGTTTTCTTTTTGCAAAGAAATCACTTGAAAATTGTATTTCTCAATTTTTACATTTCTCATTCATTGACACAATTAATTGTATTCATCTTCATTCTCATCATCATCATTGTCTGAATTGTTAATAAGTCGCCATAATGAATTCATTTTGACGGTCATCATCATCATAATGATGATAATTATAATGATAATTGAATGTTGAGGGTGAAGTTTGTATATAAGGTTGGAGGTGGTAAATGTATGACCCACAAAAACCACCCCGATAGTTTCTTGGTTCCGCTTTGGCCTTTGCGATTCAGACACTGTCCCAAGCAAGGTCAACCTCTTAACCTATATTGTGTTTATTGTTATGATGATGATGATGATGAGGATGATTATTATCATTTATATTGTTCCTTTTGAACAATTGTCTTCCTTTCCTTTTCTTCCTCTTTTTTATTGGTAATCTCATTTTCACAGCATCCGAAGTCATCATTATCATCACACTGTTATTATTATTTATTATACATCTTCATCTTCCGTTTTCACCATCATCACCTACCTTTTACATCATCGTGATGATGAATATCATCATCATCATCATCGTTTGCATAATAAAATAGCCCTCTGTCCATCCCTTGTATGTTTGTCGATATGAACATGATGACGATGATGATGATGATAGAGGAAAGAAATGTTTTTTCCCTCTCACCTTTCATCACTTTACCTTTTTTACCCATCAACATCATCTTCTTATCATCATCATCTTAATCATCTTGTTACTCTGCCAACAATAACAATCTTAATCACTTTCAATTACTACTAAATGGTGTGAATACAAACTTCACTTTCTCAATGTAAAAACTCAAGATCAACTACTTCAGGTTTAGAACTTGAAACTTGTTGAAAATTTTTTTTTCGAATTTTACTTTTTATTTCGATTCTTTTCATCGCCATTATCATCATCATCATCATCGACATAAGAACACTCAATCTAAATTGTCCATCAAGTGGACACTCAATTGCATTACAATTAACAATTTGTATCCAAATAATGTTATTTCGAGTCACTTGAATTCATCTTGATGGTGAAAACAATCAGTTGAATAAAATAAACTTCAACTTAACGGTAATTTGAAATTAAATATTCATGATAATGTTAAACTGACCATTTGAAAACTGACCAGTGAAAAGGTTATTATATGAAAATCATAATTTTATCAGACAAAAAGTGAAAGGTTAAACCACTTCAATATAGTTAAATATGTTAACCCAATCAAATACACAATCAAGTTAACAATCAAATGAACAAAATGAAAAAAAAACTTATGAAAATCAATTTCAATCGATATGAAAACTAAATGATCAAGTTAATTGTTAATCGATTTTGTAAAGTGTGAAAATCAATGATAGACAAAAACATTGCGACAAATGAAACGTAAATAATTACAATTAGTTAAACTAGACTCTAGTTAAATTAATCACAATTAAACCATGGAAAACAATTTAATCCAATTGAAATCTAAACACGTTAATTGTTGGCAAACTTTAATCTTGCATAAAAAAAACAAACTGATAGTAAAATATTGAAACGATTAACAACAATGAATAAGATTAACAATCAATATAATCTGAAAGTGGATTTAATTTTGACTTTAGCTTAATGATTATTAATAAGGCGTTACCAATGGTAAGGCCTAAGGAAGATGATGATGAAATAGATAAAGATGATAATGAAGATGAGGATAAACTAGATTGACTTAACCTTGAAGGATAAAAGGTTAAGGATTGACAATAGGGTGGGACAAACAATGGAACCTGATTTTTCAGGTTGAACAAAATGATAATCATATTGATTATGATGAGGATGATGAGGCCAATTGCTTGATTGTTGTTAAATTGTTGGAAAAAAATTGAATATCTCTCTCTCTCTCTCTCTCTCTCTCTCTGTAATATTATTATTATGCTAAATCACCGTGAATAATAATAAATAGCAATTGGATGTAAACATAATATTGTCAATGAGGTTGAATAGGTTTAAGGATAAGCAAAAGCCAGATAACTTTTTCATCCTATTGGGATAAAGATGAAGATTTTTAGTTTTTTTTATCATCTTACTGCTTTGTGAATATGAGGATAAGGATGAGGATGGAGAGGAAAAATTTTGTATTAAACTTTTAATCCGTAAGTTTGAATATTGTATATCTGTGTGTGTATTCATTTGGTTATTGTAAGAATGCTAAATGCATATTATATGATGATGAAAAGGGCAAAGGGCATAAGGCAAGTAGGTTTTGTGCTAATAAGTTTTTTTGTTGTTGTTGAGATGATAAAGGATGAAGAGAGTGAGAGAGAAAGAGAGATGATGATGATGATGATGATGAAGGATGAAAAATGTGATTCTGTTATAAGGCGATTAGGATTCATTTGTATGAGAGATTAAGTCGACCAGGCGATATGTAATTCTGGCACAAGGTGATGAGAGCGAGAGATGATTATTAGGATGATAAATACTGAAACAAGAAGAATGATAATGATGATGATGAAAAATGAAGATGATATATGAAAGATGAGAGAGAGAGAAAGAGAGACTAGAAAGATTCCAAACCGGATGATACTGAGATGATAATGTTGGTGGGATGAGGATGCTAACGGAAATTATAGTTATAACCTATAGAAAAGACTGGGATTTTGTTGACTTGGATAAATTATCATCTTTTATCATCATCATCATTATCATTATCTTCATCCTCTTTCTTTTCTCTCTTTCTCATAATTTTTTATCCGATTATGTGAAGACCTTTTTTTCACTTGGATATTATTTAAAATAGTTGACATATTTAACTTATTATTAAGGGTGGAAAGTGTAAGTGAAGTGGGTTTACTTTAGGAAGATGATGATGATGATCAAGTATTATAATCATCATCAGTTATCTTCCTCATCTTTTATCATTATCTTTCTTCAGTTATCAATTGAAAGTACTCAGTAAACACTTGAACACTCAATTCACAAAGATGATGATGATGATTGTTTAATATTAGATTTTAAGTTGTATGAGAAAGAAGAGGAAAAAAAATTATCTCCATCACTTTGACATATTCATGATCATGAATTTGATTCTGATTCCAAACAAAGTGAATTGAAATCAGTTCAAATTTACTCTTCTATTACATAACTACTCATCTAATTGTAATAATTAAACGTTTTCTCCCTCTGATTGTGATTAAATTTGATCCACTAATCTGTTAATCTTAATTTGTTGTTTTCTTTTTCTCTATTTTCTTAAGCCTAATCAGATTGATAATCGTTTCTGTGGAATGCAACTTGGACGTTCATTGATGGTTTAATCGCTAATCCTGTTAAGTGTTATCTCACTCCGTGTTATCCACTCCCACCACTATTAATCTCATCTATTCCCATGATTACTGATGAAGCAATTAACTAATTTTCCGGTGATATCCAAGGTTTTCATGGATGGACTATCATCAAAATCATCATCATCATCATGGTTACCAATTAAATGACCTAAACTGCTTGATTATAAATCTTAATCCTAATAATTAATCCAGTGTGTGTACAAAGTCCCATCCAAATACCTAAATATTATAAATATATTGGGTGTGTTTAATTAATTCAATTGATTGATTCAAATGATGATGATGATTATTGAACAAAAAAAAACAATAAGCAATTGATGATAATAATATTAATCCAAATCCTTATCAAATCCTTTAATCCTAATCCTAAAGAAAAAAGCAAAAAAAAAATTCAAAATAATACAATGATTATAATGATAAACTTTGAAATTTTTTTATCACAATTAATTGAACGGGATTAACAATTTAATTATATTAACAAATCACTAAATCAAATTGATTATTTCATTTAATCAAACAATCAGGTAAACCCAATATTATATTATAATAATACAACTGTATAAGCATATAAATATTATATATATTTCAAGTTGATTTAAATTGCTAACAATTGATTAACTTAAATTAACATTTAGAGACTAAAGTGAATTCAATATTAATTATATATATTATATGATAAAATTTGATGATTAATTATGATTATAATTAAATTATTATTGAAACTAAATTATGATTTACAAGAAATTGTAATTTTTTTTGTTGTTGGTGAAACTTTTTGTCCAATGGTTTGAACTTGAAAATTTCAATCATGAAAATGTTGTTGATTGTGTTGATTAAGTTGATTAGATTATGAAGAGAATTGTTGATTTAAATTGTAGGTGACAATCAACAATGGTTAACAGATATTGAGAGATAATTGTTGTCATTGATTGTCAGTTGGGTTGTTGTAGCTAAAGGGATGAAGTTTTGTAAAGAAGATGAAGAAGAAAAAAAAAGTTTAATATTTTACAATGGAAATGAATGAGAGGATGGAGAGAGTGGGAGAGAGAGAGAGAGAGGTGATCAGAGTGGGTGATAAGCTAACGGGGTGGATTTTGAGTCTCACTCTGTGATTTAAGGGGTGAAAAAGGATTAGCTTATAATGGTGAGTGAGAATGATAATGTTGATGGGTGGTGAGGGTTGAAAAGAGGAGGTGAAGATGAAGGATAAATGGTCGATGTTTATTGTTGATGATTTTATCTTTGGGTGTCTGTTGATTGTATTGTTTGTGTATTTAGATGATACAACAATGATTAAATCAACTGACAAGGAGAAAGAAATAAAAATGATGGAGGAAAAAAAGCAGAGAGAGAGAGAGAGAGAGAGTTATTGAGGGAGAGCGGGTGATAAAAAGGAGGAAATGATAATAAAGGAACAATCAATTGTAATGATGATGATGATGATGGGAGATGAGCTTTAGAGTCAAGAGGTAAAAGGTCAGTTCTCAACGGGGTCAATATCAAACCTTTTTTATTAACTCTATCCTGAGGATATGAATATCCTTTCACTTTTGCTTGGTCAAGCGATGGTCAGAGGAGGAGGGGAGGAAGGTGCTGATGATGATGGTGGTGGGTTAATGTAGGAAGTGAAACTCATATGTCCATTATCATTATTGACTATTTACATTGATACTTTTGTCCAATAGGTCACTTTTAATGGGAAGGGTAAGTGAGAGAGAGAGAGTAAGGTAAGTGAATGGGATAATTGTCATCAATATAATCATTATTGTTGCTATTATGAAAAAGATAATGATGACCATTGGTCAGTTGTGTGTGAATGATATTGATGCTCAATTGAATTGTTGTCATTGAGAAAAAAAAGTTTTTTTTTCAAAGGAGTAACAGATAACCTTTAATTGTTATATTACAATATTGATTATCATTTATGATCAACAATTATTATTATTTTTATGGAAACTATTTAATAACTTTTTGGCTCTCTCTCTCTCTCAAGGTAATCAATAGTTTACTCATATTAATTAACATAATTTAAGGTAATCAATCAAATTATTGTTCGGGTTAGAGTAAAAATAGTAAATGGATAATTTTTTAATCTTTTGTTTCTTTTAACTCTTAACATTTACCTTGATTATTATGAACTCAATCAGGTGGGTAATCAATCATTCTGAGTAATCATTTGAACCACAATGATTAAATTTCAATAATTAACCAGAAATAATTGGAGACAAAAAGGTAAGCCATGATTAGGAAGATAATGATGATAAGAAGGAGGAAGATAATGGGATGAGGAAGATAGAGAGCAAGAGAGAAAGATGATAATGATGATGATGATGTTGATGATAAAAGCAAAAAGGTTAAACCATTATTTGACTTTTTACCTGTTCAATAAACAAATAGACAAAATGACCAACGGTAATGACCCAGAGATTTAATTAGATTGACCAAATAAAAACCAAAACAAAAAAGGGTAAAGAGTAAAAGTCAATCTTTCAAAGTTGATGACCATTGATGATGATGTTAACTTTTGACTTACCTGTGAGATTGATTGAAGGTAATTTTGCCGAAAAAAAGTTCTAATAGTGCAAAGATTGGTAAGAGAAACTTTTACGACCGTAAAGTGGCCTCAATTTTGTGGGGAGAGATTTTTGAAGGTCCATTCATTGATTCAGGTAAATAGAGACAAGAGACTCACTCATCTCATCTCATCAGGTGAATGATGATAAAAACAATTGACTCGATAAATAGTAAACATCTGATGATGGTCAAGATGATGATGATGATGATGATTATAAATAAAAGAAGATAATTTTTTGTTTCTAAAACAAGAAAATCATTCATTTACCTGTTCATCTTTTACTTCACCTGTAGCTTACTAATAATTACCTGATGACCACACCTTTTTACAGGAAAACCTGATCACCATTATCAGAAAATGTTAGATGATGATGATCATCATCACAAAATAATGATGATAAATAGGCTTGCAAATGTTTATCATCATCAATCCTATAATTTGAAATAATAATAACTTGTTACTGGTCATCATCATGGGAAATCAACTGACCATCAAGGTAAATATCATCAAAATACATTCCCAAGTAATTAAATCAATTTTTTTTATCATAATCAATATTAGGAAAGGTTAATCAAAGTGAAACAATTAGATGTTTTTTTTAAAAAAAATGATCACATCAATTTTTGATGGTAATTTTTGTAGTTTCAATCAATCACAATTTCTTAATCATCATCAAACAGTCTGATGATAAAAATGCTAGAGTTTTTTTGATTACAATTGATTAATATCTCATTATCCTATTATCATATTTCACTAATAATAAACAACAATTATTACAATTTGTCAATTTAATCACAATGTACAAGTCGTGTGTCAAAGCTTAAGACAAACTCAAATAGCCACTTACATTTGGATGATATTGTAAACTCACCTTTTTCATCCCACCATCACCACGACCTCATCATCATCTTGTCATCACTTTTGAGAGAGAGAGAGAGAGAGAGAGAAAGAACAAAAAATAAACAGAATCATCAGAAAGAGAGAAAGAGAGAAAGAGACAGAGAGAGAGAGAGAGAGAGAAGATGAGATTCTCTTCTTTCTTTATGACATGAAAGACACGCGTTGATTTAAAGAGAGATGATGAGGAAAGATGATCATCATCATCTTTCTCATATATTACTTTTCATCTTCATCTCCTTCTTTCTCCTCCTCCTTCTTGTCCGCCTACTCATCAGTTTCCTTAAAGATACTCAACCAAATATACTGAAGATAATTTAACTTCCTCCTTTTTTTGGGACATTTTCACCCAAAAATCCTATTATTTATTTCACCTCAATAACCAACATCTACAAAACGAAACCCACCCCACCCTTACCCACCTCAAACTCCCTCTCTCACTAATCTCTTATCCCACTGTGATTGTGTCAAAACATTGGTCTAATCAATGTTGAATTAGTGTTAACTGTGTTAATCATGTGAAGAGATAATTGTAAATCTTATACTTTTTTTTATCCTGTCAAATTGTAATCAATCTATGGGAAAAATCATTGAACAAATCAAATGAAAGCCCAAAAAAAGGATCAACAATTAACAGTAAATTGTAACAATTTTTACCACAAAATTGATAGATTTTCACTAATATTAATCCTAATCACAATCAACTTGAGACTTAAATTGTCAACTTTTTGATTGTGTCATCATCACGGTGGGAAAATAAAACTTATCCAATCATATTAACAATCACAATGATCAATTTAATAGATTGGATTGAGATCAACAATCAAAAAACATGAAAAAACACAAAAAAATCAACAACAACAACAGGATAATAAGTTAATTGTGTAATCATATTTACAATCCTCAAGATCAACAACAAGGATTGTAATAGAGGAAATAATAATCGTTACAATTAGTTAATTGTTGTAACAGAAACAAAACAAAAAGCAAAAACCAGTAGACTCATTAATCAATTGAAAAGTTTTCATTTTTACAACAAAACAATTGAAAACGTAAATCAAAATTAATCAATGTTTTAAAAACCTTAATCACTACAGAACTGATTGTTTCCTTAATCATATAATTATTGGGTTTTGATAGCATTGATTGTTACAATTTTGCTAAATCTAATTATGATTATTATCATCGAGTTACCAATAATAATATAATGATATGTATCTGTTAACTGATTACCATTTAGATGAAGTTTAACACGTCTATTCAATCACAATTAATACCAATCATTATAATTTACTAATCACCATAATCAATAGACTTAGTTAATCGTTATCATCATCATAATCATCATGATAATCACAATAATTATAATGATGATAATCAAAGTAAAACAAAAAATAGTTGTAATTTCAATTTGTTCATTGGCTTTTCCTTTGATAATTATTAGCTACAATAATTGATTGATGAACTAACCAGCAACATATCATTGTAATTTAATGATGAGGATCAACATGATGATGATGATAAAGATGATAAGGATGATAATCATCATTGATTGTGGGTTGAAAATTGCAATTGTTTTACAAACTTTTTTTTTCTACCAAAAAAAAAATTCTAATAATGTCAAGGTAACTAATACAACAAATATAAATGAATCAATGATTTTTTCACTACAGATGAACCCAAATCTCACCAAAAACTGTAGCATCCTCATCCTCATCACCATCATCATCATCATCATCTTTATCATCTTCATCAAAAGCCTATAATTTAGTATAACTTGATAGCCCAAGGAGAAACCAAGGTAAAAACCATCTCTCTCTCTCTCTCTCATCGTCATCATACCTTACCTTTTGTTTGGATGCCTCTGTAGTAAAGGTAAATGGGATGAAGATGAGGATGAGGATGAAAAAATACTAAAAAATTGAGACAAAAATTTTATCCATAATAAT